CCAACTATTCCATGATTTTTTCTCTCTCCATACATTCATGTAATACTTGCGTTTCATTCATGTATGACTGACAAATATGTATCACTTTAAGTTCATTAGTTAATGTTGAAACTGCGTAAACCACATGGATTGAAATTTAAATGTAATTCAAATACATAGATCTTAAATGTAGGCCTAAATATTTATTTGAGAGCATGAGGGTGAGAACATGATGACAGAATGTTCACTTTTGTCTGAACTGTTGAGGATTAGCAGCCTCTGTTACTGAAGATAATCGTTCTTGTGAGGTTTCATGCCAGGTAACTCGAGCAGGTGCGACATGCTCTTAAGGGGACCGAACAGGAAGTGCGAGTGACAGGAAGTGAGGTGGGTTTCAATGGGTGTGAGAGCACTCGTGCTGCTCAAACCTGGCCAGTAAAACTGATCAACTGGGATGAATTAAGGCCGTACACTACAGCCTGAATTCACAACTGGGAAGCTGCAGAGATCTGGTTCAGTGTCTTCATTCACTGTCATTTAATGTTGCTCCAAACCCGTTTCAATTTTGCACAGAAGACTTGTGTCTTACGGGCTTGGAACGACATGAGCGTGAGTAAATGATGACAGGATTCTACCGATTTCTGCAGCTGGTCTGGCTGTAGAGCACTGGCCTAGAGAGATGTTAGAGGAAACCTGTCCACACACCTTGCAGAAGACCACAGTCCCTTCCTCCTGGTGCAAGAGCCCAGAGGAGACGGGAATGACAAGAAACAAGGATATTGTCATAGTTGGAGAGGTTTATCACATTTACAGAAGAGAGAGAGAAGCATTACAACACGCATGCAAAATTCACAAGGGATGTTAAGTTGCGTTCACATCATGACAGAATTCCCATAATTATGAGGAAATTCATGAGGAGTCATTTATTTCTATGATAACACTGGATGTCAAATGGATCCACGTGTGGCTTTGTTGTTCATGACATCATAATATTTGATCACTACATGAATTAACCTAAATTCTTGTGAAATATCCTGAATAGATTTTTTCCTGATTTTCTGTTAATGGTTCTTGAACTGTCAATGCTAACCAAACATGCAACAGTGTTTCCTGCATCACTATTTAGCGGCATGTTCTGCTAATGGATCTACAATTTTTGCACGTTTGCAGTCTCAATTGAATGTGATTAGAAAAAAAGTCTAGCTTATGCAAAATAATATTAAGACTATAATCAGACAGCATGTGTTTGATCTGGTTGCGAACAACAAAAACATGCAAACAATCAACCAGGTGTTCGTTTCCCAAAAGCATCGTTAGCCAACTATGGTCGCAAGTTCCATCACCCTAGTGAAATTTTTTTTTATTGTATTTGAACTATATTCCCTTTTTCAATAGTACATTGCAAAAAGGGTACTATCTTTAAATATATTAAAAGTTTATTAGCATCATGCTTTTACCTATTTTCACAATACAACTTTTAACACACTTTAAAATAATTGTACTTTAGTATATTTTAGAAAAATATACTTGAAGTGAAAATTCTGTTTATTTTTTAAGTGTATTTATTTGCACTTTATTTAAAATATATTTGAGGTATATTTTAACTGTGTGCTGGAAATGATCATTGTAACAATGCATTGAAAGTATACTTTCAAAATACATTATAGTATACAATAGTATTTGTACAAAGTAAATGGTATGGTTGGCGCCGATAGCCTCGTGGGCAAGTGCAAAGACATATAGCGCCGTTGTGTCGGGAGACCTGAGTTCGATTCCCGGCTCGTGGACCTTTCCTGATCCCGTCCCCCCTCTCTCTCCCACCTCACTTCCTGTCTAGCAACTGTCCTATCCTAATAAAAGGCAAAAATAAATATATATAAATACACTTATGGTATATTGCTTATATGTTTCGAAGACTCGTAATGAATTTGTAATGTACTTGTAACACAAATAAAGTACACTTTAATATCACTATCAAGCATGTAATTAGTCCCTACACAGGCATAGGCTGCGTTTACACTTGGCATTAACATGCGACCTGTATCTGGATGTTGTCCACATACACATTGAAAAGACAAGTGTAAACGCACTTCTGATCGGAATGTTATCCGATCAGCGTGTCTAGGTTCGGAGGTAGTCGAGGACGCATTGCGATCGGATCTCAGTGTAATGTAAACGCAATCCAGCCATCGTGTCTGCATTCACAGGTGGACGTCATATAAATCCCTAGCCTGACTTGGTCATACTCATATTCTAGTCAGAATGTGAGTCTGATACTGCTCCATAGGGCTTTGATTATGAGGCGTGTCTTAACCGAACCAGGGAAAAAAAAAAACTCTGCACTCAATTGGATAGACCTCAGAGCAACGCAGTAAGTCAGCTAGTTGCATAGCATAGTTTCAACAGAACTCAACTACACGCACGCTGGAAGAAGTAGTAAAATAATGAGTGTTGCTTCTTTTACTTGGTCCTCCATGAGTGCGAGTGTGCGACCAAAGGAGAAACCACAACTACCACAGGGTTTTCATTGCGTCCCATCTTCTTAGCGACCATCGGAGCCAGCTGATAAAATAAACTTTTGCCGAATCCCGTAGGAAGGACGGCAAACACATCTTTCCGATCGACAAATGCCTTGATTGCAGTTCTCTGTTCGTCTTTTAAAATGAATGCGCTGTCGATTTCTTTTACAACAGACGCGATAGCGGAATCTATACATCTCAATTCTCCAGCTGCAGTCATCTTTGAGGGAAACCAGTTCAACCCAAGCGCACTTTGATAACGTGATGATTACGTAACTGCAGATCATCTGTCCATCATCGTATAAAGCCCGCCCTGGCAATTTGATTTGCCCGACTAATTCTGAACCGATCATAATTACTCCTCAATGGATCGAGTCCATACCGAACTTCCCAACCAAAAAATGTTGTGGGCGGGGTTCGGGCTGGCATCCAGGCTAATAAATCCCCGCGTGGCTGTCAGAAAATAATGTCCAGACGCAGTTTAGACAAGAAATTAAACTTATTTGAACCTTACAATAAACGTCAATCTTTAAAACAGTTTATTTAGACTTACATGATACTATGCGTGTCATTTTTTCATTTTAATTGTGCAACATTATCTGAACGAGGCGATCGCCTGTACACTCACAGTCAGTCATGAGATCTTAATGAAGAGCTGCGCGGAATAATCAGAATTTTTGAATGTTTTAAATGTTGAATGTTTTTATTGTTTCAGCATGTTTATCAATCTCCCATTTATGTCAATTTAGTCATTGCACGCTATAACCTTAAACCCAGATGATCGATGATGTGACTTGTTTAACATGATCAACCCAGTTATTTTTGTCTGATCAACTCTGGAAGTATTCCTTCGTTCAAAAACCGTAATTTGATCTAAGACTGGAGATTGCACAGGAAAGTAAAGTGAGTGAGTGAAAGCAATTGGTAGCCTACATTGTTTAATTGGTATCATCTTTACTCTTAATCTGGTGTCGTGCCACAGACCTAATTTAAATATTTTGCAGGAAACAGAAATCCGATCGGTTATCCAGATACAGAGGCTACTTAATGTGAACAAATGTAAATGCGCCATGTCCTGATTGGCTAATGATCCGATCTGCTTGATTGGATCACGGTGATCGCATGTTAATGCCAACTGTAAACGCAGCCATATACTTAAAGTATACTTGAAGTTGTTCCAATTTAGTACACAAAAGTACACTTAATACACTTAAAGTTATGCTTTACTACAATTAGTTGTTTCAAAATAGCACACTTCAAGTTAACTAATCATTAACACACTTGAAGTATAGTAAATTAGTCTGTCTGCAAGTATACCTAGCATTTTTTTTTTTTACCAGGGCGTTATCAGCTTAGTTCAACGAGTTTCTGAAACCATAGTTCTAACGAACATTCGCAAACAGCTTTGGAAAGTTGTGTAGTTGGAAAGACAGCTTTCGACCTGTGGTTAGAAGCATAGTTTCTTGTTTGACGTGTACTCGATAAATCCTTATTTTGAGCCGACATTTATCTTTTATTTAGAATACAAATGTCATTTAAGTCTTTTAGTTTGTCGAGAGATTTAAAGCACCATTTTTGAAGAGTGCACATGTGCGTACATGCTCTATTAAGTGAGAACGAGTCTAAGATTGAATCTGGATATAAAGCAAAATGAGAAATAGTCCTCAGATGCCATGGTCGTAATTTATAGCAAAACATCTAGCGTTAATTCGATCTCAAATAGATTAATTAAAAGGAGTTATTACTCCAACACGTGCGTGACATCCTTAGCCAACGTGGTTGAACGACCAATTTGCAACAATACGGTTTCGGTCTTATTAATGAATCAAACTAAAAGAGTCTCAACTCATATTGGTTTGAACCAATTTAACAACTCACTGACTGTATCACTCATTGTTGAAATGACAATTATTGATTGTTACTATATTTTTTGAGAAGAGTGTCATTTCTGACTGGTTGTTCGTACCATATTATGTATAGATAAAGATACACATTCACAGTTTTGTCCCAAATAAATGGTCATTTGTCTTCACAGCATTGTTTTTGTTTAGTATATTTGTTAAGTATATAATTAGGCCTAATTATTCTTGAAATATTGAAATCAATCAATCAAAAGGGAATTATAACTGTTCAGAGGAATCAGAATCGGAACCAGAATCATTCAATTCTAGTCTTAAAAAAAAAAACACACAGAAAGTGCCCCAGGTAACACTGTCTATGCAATGACATTGAAAACAGCAATATGTTGATTATGAATATGAATATGCTATCAACAGAATATGTTGATAGCAGTTACAGGTGGTAACTAACCACCTGTAACTGCTAAAGCCATGAACTTGATGGACCTTCTAATTGCAACTAAACCGACTCATAATTACGGCAATTTGACATGTCATGAACGCAGCTTTCCAGCAAGGGATGTTCTATAACTTAACTCACACAGACAGTTAGTGGGAAAACATTGTTGTGGAGTGTTGCAGTAACAAGGATTAGATTACTGACCTGTTTTCCTCCCATGGACTCAAACATCTTCTCCAGCTGAACTCGGAGCTGCTGGATGTTGTTCAACAGGATACAGGACTGTCAGGAGAAGAAAGATAGACAAGATATTTCATGATTAATCGACTGTCCTCCTTTCCACATGCATTCAGTCATCAAAACCCTCCACCATCCTAATGCAAGGAGATGTTTTTTACTTGAAGACTGAAGACTTGAATATATAAACACGGGCATTGATTCGTATGGATGCTGATGATGATGGTGGTCGCTGACATGAGTTTGCACATCTTACTTTCATCAGTGACAGTAAATCTGAATTTCATTACGTAAAATCTATGTCTCCAACTCTTCAGAGAAATGCCAGAATTACACAATTGAACATTCAATGTGTTCAATTGAAACGCTCATTCCTTTTTGAAAATAACTGAAAATAATGCACAACAAAGGTGTTATTAAAGCATAATGTTTCTTTTATATCTTATAATATTCAGTAGGTTGCCCTAATGCATCAAATATTTTCACTATAAATCTATATATATCAGTGGCGTGCGGGTTCATATAAGCTGCGAATATTTTGCATAACCAACAATTCAAGAGGAAAAATGTGCTGCTGCTGCCAGATCTCGATCAACGAAAATCACATTGTATTTGATGCAAAACAGTGAAAAATAGTCATAACAAACTACTTTCATAGTATTTCGTTTTCTCCATAAGGAAAATTATTTTTAACGAAAACGTATAAACTGTTTTATATATGTATATATATAAATACACACAACAGTTCTTTCTGGTTCTTGAATCTGATTGGCTGAGAGCCTTTCCAGCACACAGTAACAGAACTCTGAAAGTTTCACCATTTGCATCACTCCGCTTCCGACGACAGTCATGGCGGTCGAGCAAATCCAACATATTTTTTAAAAATACTACTGTTGTTGTGTCACGAAATGTAGTTTTATGATGTTTTTAGGTGAGAATTTAGTTATTTAGACCTCAAATATGTGACTAATATATAATCATTGTGTCTATTTTACAATCTGTTGAGACGCTTTCGCAGATGGCCTTCACAGTCACCAGATCTCAATCCAATATAGCCTTTTTGAGATGTGTTGGAACGGGAGATTCGCATCATGGATGTGCAGCCGACAAATCTGCAGCAACTGCGTGATGTTATCATGTCAATATGGACCAAAATCTCTGAGGAATTTCCAGCACCTTGTTGAATCTATGCCACAAAGAATTATGGCAGTTCTGAAGGCAAAAAGGTCTAGCAAGCTGTACCTAAGATATACCCCTACTAGCAAAGTGTGCCTAAAAAAGTGGCCTGTGAGTGTGTATATATAAAATAGTCAATATTATTTCATTATTATTATTTAATTGTTTTATGATTTTGGGGGGAAAAAACTAATTAAACTAATGCATTAGAATGTGCATTAAGAATAAACGAACAACAAAATATACAGTATTGATAGTACATTATTTCATGCGTGTAAAATGACATCTGCAATTGAAAATGTTATAAAAAAAAACAAAAACATTAAACTCAATGACCAGGTTGATGGTGAACTCTTTAAGATGACCATCTAACTCACAAGGATCAGTTACATGTTACAGTGAATGTCAAATAACCATTGACCAGATTTGTGTTGACACACAGATTACCTAGAGATATGGCAGTCAAAACACTTGTGTAAGTGTCCCAGGATTTGACTGGATGGCTAGGAGTGCATAATTAGTGCAGGAGTCTATAAGCTAATTAAAACGGGCTCTTACTGTCTGCACTGGCACACTTCTTAAAGGTCACATGTCAGCCGTGTGACAAATAGGTGTAAAACTCTGAAACGAAAATATGAAGCAGTCGCGCTAATTGAAATGAGGGAACATCGTCTCAATGACAAGAGCTGGTGATTTCACACAGTCGTAAATTTAATTTAAGACAATGTATATAAACTCTGATGTAGCTGATTTGTGGGCATTGGTGCGTTTAAAGATGTAGATATTCTTAGGATGAAGTGTGCTGTCAATTAAGCGATGGATGAGACCCGAGGAGCGGCTCTATCCTCCGAGACAGAACAGAGATATGTCTTTAATTACCGGCCGCATGATTTTCTCTCTGTGGTCCTGTCACTGCACTTAAAAGATACATCTGTCTTTCTTCCCACCACAGACGTCCTGCATGCCAAGCTTTTATAAGCATTACATGAAGACATTGTGAAAAATAAGAGCTAGAACAAAAGCTGCTCTGAGTTAGCTCCGTGAATGCTGTCATTTTACACAAAGAAAGGGAAGTTAAAAGCAAAGAGGAAGGAGACGAGGACGCGAGAAGGTCTCGCTCTTTATTTGTCGTCTACATATTCCCCTCTCACGAAGACATAATGCAGAACGCAGCCAAAGTCAAATTGAATGTCTCACTATGGTCTCCGGGTTGGTTTCCATGGCAATGTCCCCAGTGTAATCTGATCAAGCCATGTTCGGACACTTGCAGGGTCATGACTTTAAAACACGCTGACATTTTATGACGAAGCAGTTTTGAAAGTGTGTGTGTGCAAACCTGTTCATAGACTCACCAAGTTCTCCTTGTTCAGATGGTTGCTAAAGTCTTTGGAGATGATCGCAGCATACTGGAGAAGAACTTTGTTTATGGTCTGGAAAGAGAGTAAAATGTAGATTTAAATATTATAAAAAACAGTACAATTTAACTTTGTGAAAGCAATAAGTTGAGTATGTGGTACTGTTATTATTTACAAACCTAAAACACAAATGTACATAAACTACCATACCAAATGTTGCTGAAAGAAGTCTCTTATGCTGATTAAGACTGCATTTATTTGATAAAAAATACAGTAAAAACAGAAAATATTGTGAAACATTATTACAATTTGAAAGGGAATAAAACTCTTAATATATTCATAAATATGTAAATAAGTAAATGAGGGGAGTAATGATATGCGTCTTCTCAGGCCGCCGTAATAGATTTCTCTTGTCAAGTTTGCATGAAGTAATCAATGCCTCCTACAAGACCCTTTACCCACAATCCCGTGGGTGGAGAGCTGGTATCAATCTTTCTCTGTCTCTCTCTTTTTCTCTCTCAGCTCATTTGCATTCACAGTAGACATTTACAACAAGAAAAAATATATAAGCTGGCCTGAAATCTCTTGGAAATGTCATATAAAATCTGTTATGTATATACACTACTGTATATAGTATAGAATATACATTAAGAAAAACGATCACCATATTGATAAGTTGTCTGAGTAGATGTGTTAATTTGATAAACATCACTATTAGTATTGCTTATAGCTTTAGTGATGTGATCAAAACTCTAACACTGGCAAACATCCTGGCTTCACAGGGCAAAAACTTTCTGCATTTTTCTGCATTCTGCATGTCCCCACAAGGACAATTTTTGATTTTGGATATTGCCGTTTTTGTAAACTAGAGTAAACCTGAACCTCACACACGTTCAAATAAAGCTTTTGAACTTTCTATTCATCAAAGAATCATGTTTTCCACAAAAATATGAGACAGCACAACTGTATTCAACATTGATAATGATCAGAAATGTTTTTAAAGGGTACTGTAGGTTTCCCCTAAAAGTGTAACACTGTAGTGCTTTCAAAACATTGCTCTATTCATTTGATAATCCTAACTAATATTCACAATTCCTTTTGGTGATACTAGTGGGGCAAAAATTATACTACTTGACATTTAAAGAAAATCAAGTAATGGTGCAAAAATACACCCTAAAAAAATTCCCAGCCAGCAAAGGTCTGGATTTATGCCTAGTTTCAAAGCTTTTCTCCATCATTTGTTCTATTCATCATTTTATGCTCTCAGCTGCCAGGCAACCATATGACAACCTACAGTTAGTGTAATATTGCTTGGCGGAAGAACCGCTTTTTTGTGTGTGTGATTATTATTGTTAATTCATGTAATTCTTTATTGAAGATTGGTGTCTTTTATTATACTGCCACTGAGACTATGCAGCTATGATTTTACCACATTTAAGTTTTTTTTTTACTTCGTTTTACATCACAGCAACATGCAAAATCACCAATGTACAGCCTCAAAGGACATACTTTCTATTCTGATGTTGTCTTACCTTTGCAAATCTGCGCATGAAGTGAGCGAGAGCTTGAGGGTTCGGACACTCCAGCTTCTTAATGATCTCAAAGCTTTGGTTCAACTGCGTGAACACATCCACCACCGAGCAAGAAAAGAGAGCATGTTCTGATGTCTGCTGGAACTGTAATGATAACCCCAAAATCAAAACATTAATGATTATGTCCGCCACACAATACAGAGGATGTCATATTTTTTTTATAGCAATTATATATGTTTCTGTTTTTCAGCATTTACTACATAATAGAAGAAATAAAAGAAAATGTTTTACAGCCTGATTCTAACTTTCCATAAAGTTCTAATATGGTTCTTCAATGATCTAGTGATTCAATAACCCCGGAAGGGCGTCATTATTATTATTCTTTGTTTAAAGAATATGTCACTCAAAAATCTAAATTCTGTCAGCTTTAATTCACCATAATGTCATTCCAAACCAATATGACTTTTTTATGCTCTTTTCCACACAATATACAATTCAGTTCAAATGTTTGGTGTCAGTAAGATTTTAATACTTCATAATAATAATACTTTTATTTGGAAAAAAAAATATCAAAAGTGACAATGAAAACATTTATAATGTGAAGTTTTCTACTTCAAATAAATACAGTTCTTTTGACGTTTCTATTCATCAAAGAATCCTGAAAAAAATCTATCAGTGTTTTCACAAAAATATGAAGCAGCACAACTGTTTTCAACATTGATAATAATCAGAAATGTTTCTTGAGCAGCAAATCAGCATATTAGAATGATCATGTGACACTGAAGACTGGAGTAATGATGCTAAAAATTCAGCTTTGGATCAAAGGAAAAAATTACATTATAAAATATATTACAAATAGAAAACAGTTCTTTTAAATTGCAATAATATTTTACAATATTGCAGTATTTTTTACTCTGGCTTGGTCCTTTGTTTTGTAAATAGTAAAAAAAACTTACCAACCTCAAACTTTTGAACGGTTGTGAAAGGGAAAGGGGACTTTTTTGGGGTGAACTATTCAATATTGGTTCTACCTACAACCAATATGCTGAACTGAAGAATCTATAATTAAATATCAAGGAATGATATTGGTTTGTGATGAGAAGATGCTGCCAGCAAGCACTGAAGATGTTTTTAAGAAGACAGCTCTGGTATGATTCAGAGCCTTTGGGAATGCCTGCCAACATAACCTATGACACAATTAACCTGCACTTCTGCCCTTATTCTCCAGGCGCTTCTGCCAACGAGCACAAGCCTAATAATCATTAGACAATTAACTCAAAGTGCTGCTCCATTAGCATCTTAATGTAGAGCTGAATCTCACAAGACTTGAACCCGAGTGCAGCTAAACATCTAAACACAGTTAGCAACCCACTACGCTCATGTAATCTTAGCACTAGCACTGGCTATAAATAAACTCCGGCTCTGCTGTTAACAGTAGGAAGAAAAAAACACACATTTTAACACTGTTTTCATTGCTCTGCAACACTAATCTGCATCTGAAAATGCTCATGTGTAATTATATTTGTCAGTGTCACATATCACATATAATAACGTGGCCGTTCATCACAGTAGTGGATAATGTGCAGGCCAATATTAACAGCACTAAATGGTTTGTGTTTTCACCGCAACCAATTTCAGGTGAAAGAAATTAGCATATGAAACCAATCACGCCAGTGATTTGTTTTCGTCAGCCAGGGGAACATTGAGCAGGATAAATGTGTGTTTTTGTACAGCCTTACAGTAACAGCAGCTCATATTTACATCAGTCCAATCAGAAGCATTTGTTCGGTTTATTTCACGAACACTCATCAGCCTAATGGTGATGATACACAGGGCAACTTTTTGAGCAATGTTGGTGGGCAATATTGCCGTCAACGGGCAACCAGATGAGACACATGGCCCACGACCGACCTAAATTATCCAGATAGAAATGTATTGCCCATTTTCAATGGGAAAGTGCCCAAGCAACAATCGCTCAGCAAGATTGCCCAGCAACATTGCTCAAAAAGTTGCCCTGTGTATCATCACCTTAATGCTTTCAATTTACCAGTTTACCAGCACGTCAGATTCCATTCATCGTGTTTACGTCTGTGCTATGAGAAAAACACATTGCTTAATAAATTCTCAGCGCAAATGCCATAGAAGAAAAAAAAATCTCCTATCCAAAGAGAGAGCTTATTGAATTAAAATTGTTATAAACTTGTTCAAATGACTGGATTTCTGAGATGAACATGAATGCCACTACCCAGCTAACACAATTGTCCAAAACGTTTTGCTAACATTCCTGTTAAGTTATGAAAACGTTATTTCTGAATGTTCAAATGTCCAGTTTTTTTAATGTTTTAAAAACGTTGTTTATTGGTTGTACAAATGTTAAGGGAACATTTAATCATTTTGCAAACATTATGGGAATGTTCAGTTTGAATGTAGCCTACTCTGAAACGAGTAAAAACTTTAGACGACCGAATGTCCAACTGAAACATTAACGATGAATAAATAATGTTTTTGTGCTAACGTTTTGAGAACATTATTGAAGAATTTGAACAAACATTCTATTAACATTACTGGAAGAACATTTGTTCATAACTTTGAGAGAAAGTTTGCCAAGGTTTTGAGGACGTTCTCCTGTTAGCTGGGTACATTATTGTTTTTACCAGTAAAAACTCACGATTTTGAGCCATGACTTCAGTTTGAAGTGTCAAATAAGAAACATGGCAACTGATATTGATCATATTTAAGTTTAGTCTACATGCATTTGTGTACTTATTATGAATAACAGCAAAAAGCTTGCCAGAAAATACTCATTTAAAAGGTTGTGACAGGCTACAAAATCTCATTATTATAAGGACAGAATAAGAATGATTAAGAAAAGAAATCAAGAATTAATCATATACCCAAAGCATATCCTTACTTTGTTGTTGCACTAAAAAGTGTCCCGTCTTTGTCAAAAAAGAGGATGAAATAAACTCATCCTGTGCTTTCATTTTATTCTGACGAATCAATTCAAATAGTAATAGTAAGTAGGAACTTCACAGGAGCACTTTGAAGGCAGCATACAAGCAAAAGAGAAATGCGGCATTTAGCGTTAATGTGACGTTTAGATGGTAACGGCAGCGTTAGACTATTTGCCAATTCACAAATGAAAAGCTCGACTGAAGCAAAGGAACAATACGAAAAACTCACCCCATCTTTTTTATCTCTCTCTAGAGCTCCGTTAACAAAATCCATCGCTACATCTTCATTTTCATCCAACCACTGGATAACAAACGGCTCAAACCACCTGCAGAGAGAGAATAAAGCAGTGTAATAAAGGCTTTGGTTTTCTGATCTTTATATACATGCTTTTTTTCACCCTATTTCATCATCCACGAGATGTGAGAAACAAATTATGTGCCAAAGTTTAATTCCTAATTTTTATATGAACCAGGATTATTTTTGTTAACTAAAACTATTAAAGCATTTTTGTTCATTGAAGCTGAAATAAAATATAAATATTAGATAAAAATATATACATTTAACGAAAATGTTTAATGTTGCTGTCACAGTCATCGTCTGCACCATTCTGTCTTTGTCATCTTCACTACACTTCCCAGCATCCTCTTGTCTCCTCACCTGAATTCACTCCCTCAATCATCCACCTGTTCATCGTCATCATCATCTGTGTCACCTGTCCTCACCTCGTTAGTGGTCGTTTGTATCTGTATTTAGTTCTCTCTCTTCAGTCTGTCTTTGTTGGTTCTTGTAAATGTTACCTTGTATTGTGAGTGTTACACTTCTGCCTGTCTACCTGCCTGTACCAGTTTGTGTTAGTTGACTATAGTAAAAGTTTGAATTGGAGCCTTTGCCTCAGCCTGTCTTCATTCCACACCACACCGTGACAGAAGAACCGACCAAGAAGGTAATGGAGGAGGACGCAATGGATGCGTTTCTGTTCAACCAGAATGGAAGTTCTTTGGAGGAATTAGTGGAAGTTTACCTGCATCTGTATCAGGATGCTTACTGGGAGGAGGAGTTTTTAAAGCAACGGTTTTGGGGAGGACTAGACGATCCACTAACCCAGATACTGCTGCTCAAAGACTTAGACCGACCTTTTCTTGAGTTCTTGGACCGAGCTCTTTTTGTCTGTGGTTCCTCCCTCACTGTAACACCAGCCGATCCTGAGTTTCCAGTACCAGAGCTTCACGTCAGCCACGTCCAGCCAGAGACCGTCCAGCCAGAGCTTCACGTCCAGCCAGAGCTTCACGTCCAGCCAGAGACCGTCCAGCCAGAGACCGTCCAGCCAGAGACCGTCCAGCCAGAGACCGTCCAGCCAGAGACCGTCCAGCCAGAGACCGTCCAGCCAGCTCTGGAGGACGCAGTGCTCCTTGTGGGATCCATGGCTGTTTTGTGTGTGTGGGCAGCACACACATTCGTTACAGCCCATGAACCCAGCCCTGAGCTTCCTTCGCCGCTGGTCCCGTCCAGCCCTGAGCTTCCTTCGCCGCTGGTCCCGTCCAGCCCTGAGCTTCCTTCGCCGCTGGTCCCGTCCAGCCCTGAGCTTCCTTCGCCGCTGGTCCCGTCCAGCCCTGAGCTTCCTTCGCCGCTGGTCCCGTCCAGCCCTGAGCTTCCTTCGCCGCTGGTCCCGTCCAGCCCTGAGCTTCCTTCGCCGCTGGTCCCGTCCAGCCCTGAGCTTCCTTCGCCGCTGGTCCCGTCCAGCCCTGAGCTTCCTTCGCCGCTGGTCCCGTCCAGCCCTGAGCTTCCTTCGCCGCTGGTCCCGCCCAGCTCAAAGCCCTCTTTGCCGCTGGTTCCGCCCAGCTCAAAGCCCTCTTCGCCACTGGTCCTGCCCAGCTCAAGACCTTCGCCACTTGTCCCGTCCAGCAAAAAGCCCTCACCACTTGCCCAGCCAGAGACTGCTCACGTCCCGTCTGCCCAGCCTGGGTCTGCTCACGTCCCGTCTGCCCAGCCTGAGGTGGTTTACGGCACGTCTGCCCAGCCTGTCACTCTCCCCAATAATTATTTTGGGGGGGGGGCATAGGTCACCGCCATGGCCGCCCGAAGGGGTCTCTCCGCCATGGCCGCCCGAAGGGGTCCTCACCACCATGGCCGCCCGAAGGGTCCTCACCACCATGGCCGCCCGAAGGGTCCTCACCACCATGGCCGCCCGAAGGGTCCTCACCACCATGGCCACCCGAAGGGTCACCACCGCCCTGGACGCCCGAGGGTCCGACAGCTCCGCCCTGGACGCCCGAGGGTCCGACAGCTCCGCCCTGGACGCCCGAGGGTCCGACAGCTCCGCCATGGCCACGTCCTGCCCTGGCCACGCCCACGTCCTGCTCCGCCCTGGCCACGTTCGGCTCCTCCCTGAAGGCTTCCCGCTCCTGTGATCAGGCTTCAGGGCGCCCACCTCCCCACCCCTGTTGTTCCACGGCGTGAGGTCACGCCTACCGGGAGGGGAGAGTTATGTCACAGTCATCGTCTGCACCATTCTGTCTTCGTCATCTTCACTACACTTCCCAGCATCCTCTTGTCTCCTCACCTGAATTCACTCCCTCAATCATCCACCTGTTCATCGTCATCATCATCTGTGTCACCTGTCCTCACCTCGTTAGTGGTCGTTTGTATCTGTATTTAGTTCTCTCTCTTCAGTCTGTCTTTGTCGGTTCTTGTAAATGTTACCTTGTATTGTGAGTGTTACACTTCTGCCTGTCTACCTGCCTGTACCAGTTTGTGTTAGTTGATTATAGTAAAAGTTTGAATTGGAGCCTGGACAACATAAGCTTTTACATCGCTTTAACTTATCAAATAAGTTAAGCAATTTTCAACTTTTATAATTTATACAATATTTGACTTAAGTCAATTTAATGTAGTTTAAGTTGATTGTACTTAAAGTTAAGGCAGAAACTTTTTTTTTACAGTGCAGTACTGTATACTGTATAAAAAAACATAACAAAATTATTTTAAAAAGTAACTAAAATTAAAACAAAAAATGGAAATATAAAAATAAAATCTAATTCAAGAATGCTTGGGGGCACGGCACTGTTTACTCAAATAAACAATTAAATGCTTTGGCTCGTACAGATGGGAAAAAGTGTTACAGATAAAGAAATTCAGTAGAGGAGACTCAACATAAATCCGTTTGAGTTGTTCAGCAACAGTATAAGCATTGTCTCATAGTTCTGAAAACAGTTCACTAGCAATAGACAAACAAGTATTTGGTAAGCAGAAATGAGACAAACATATTTTTAAATCAAGTAAAGCGTTGTAGATGGCCTGTGGCAGGCAGAATCACACTAATATCTCTGCTAATGTAATGAACCTGCGCTAGCGGTTTACTCAGATTGAGACGGTTTGCAGTAACTCACTGTTTGCAGTAATTCACTGACAGTAATAAGGGAATTAATATGAAGGCATTTAGCTAGCTATCTTAAATATTGATCTGGATTGCTATATGTGACGGTTTCCTAACCACACATTCACCGATAAGACCCTGATTGCTCAGGAAAGCTGCAGATAGATCTATCTGCTGAGTGTTTTTTCATCTAGGTGTAATTTCTACAGCGATTTCTCATTTGCAGTATGTCCCTGGATATTAGAACGACATTTAGCAGATGTTCTTGCCAACATTTATCGGTTTAAATGTACATGCATTCATTTTTCGCAATTTTATCAGATGCTTGTTCACAAATATGACATTTAAAATTCAATGTTTTCCAGCAGTGCTCTCTCAGACATCTCAGAAACATACGCCGCTTATGATAGGTCCATATTCTATGTGAGACTAGTGCCTAATTGTAAAAAAAAATACATTAAAAAACATGCCCCCAGTAAATAAATAAACAAATAAGCAAGCAAGCATCTGATGAAATTATGTAAAACAGACAATATTCATCTGATCACAATGCCTGTTGCAATTGAGCAGGTGTAGTGTACTTGGGCAGGAAAGCTAACTGAACTCTAGTAAATGAGATATAATAAGAATAATGTAATAATTATAGTTAAAAAGTGAGAAAACTATGATGGGTGTGATGGGAAACACGCTGAGTGGTTTTAACAGCTGAGAGTCAAAAGAAAATCTGAAAGGTGATGAAACTAAGTAGGTGACGAGGACTCCTGTGAGAAGATTTGTCTTTTTAATGATAAATTCACATCGGACAGGCTGTACAGGGATGCTGTTCCAGTGCTGGTTTTTATAGCTACTGTAGGAATCATATTTTTCCTTAAACAACAGTTTATTCGTCCCCTTTCCCTTGGCAAATAATTCAGCTTGAATTGTTTAACCCACAAAATCCATTCAGACTTAATTTAGTAATTCATTTCTGTCAGAGAGGCGTGTCGTCTGATGTGGTTTTGTAAACATTATACTTTGTAAGAAATTTACAATAACATTTTGAAAATCTCCTTCTGACATTTTGTAAGATTAGAATGTTCGCCATTTAAAATCGGCACGATGATGCCATCATAATATTTAGATACTGAAATGCGAATGATTTTCTCTCATCTATTTGCATTGTATTAGTCTATTAAATCTATTTTTTAACCATCTATAGACTCCATTCTAAACCTAAACGCACATAAAACTTCAGTATTATTCCTTTGCTGATTTGCAAACACTGGTATTTCCTTCAGCAAATGCAAATTCACTTCTCGTGTCACTTATGTTATAAATATGATGGGCAGAGCAGCTCTTATGTGCGGTCTCATTCTCATGGCAAAATCAATTCTCCTCGAGGTGGTTTTTGATTGACAGCTGTGTGGCTCTTCCCTGATGTCCTGTCCCGTCTGTCATCCCGCCTCTCCACACTCATAACTCACAGTAATGAATGAGTGACTTTTTGACAACAGACAGCAGCCAATGAGAGGCCAGCGTGCGTCTGCGGATCCAGGACAGATGCATGATGGGTTGTGAATGGATGGATCAACATTCAATGTAAATGTGAACCAGGGGCACTTTCTAAGAGGAAGTACAATTCGGGTTTATTATTTGAAAGCATAAAAAATATAAATAAATGAAATATGATGACATTGTTTCATTAACTTAAACTTAAAAGTGTACATTATTTAATTTCCAATGTTAAAAATGTATAAACCTATAATACATGTAAGGGATAATGTGCATCCAGCCGGTTATTATCACAAAATAAACCCCTACAGAGTGATCAGGACCCCTTATTTAACAAAAACGATTTAACGATTTAATTAAAGATATGTTTAAGATGTGTGTATATATATATATATATATATATATATATATATATATATATAGTTGTGTGTATATATACAGGTGAAACTCGAAAAATTAGA